GCGTATGTCAAACGCGAAGCATACGCGCATGTGTAGCAAGGCGATACGCATGCGATTCCATATTGCGATTCGTGCGTGTGGGGAGACAATGCGTAAAGCAATTCGCGTCCACTCGCACATGAAACGCACACAGTCCGCAAGGCTATTTGCATGCGAATGCATGTTGCGTATCATGCGTATGAGGGCTGATTGCGTAAAGCTTAACGCGGCCTAACACTCACCTTACGCACACATTTCGCAACGCATTTCGCATGCTAATACATGCTGCGTTTCATGCGTATAAAGGCTCATTGCGTAAAGCTTAACGCAGCCTAACACTTACCAAACGCACACATATCGCAACGCAATTCGCATGCAAACAAATGTTGCGTTTCAAGCGTATGAAGGCTCGTTGCGTCAAGCTTAATGCGGCCGAAGCTAACACACAACAAGCACACACGATTTACCTTTGATGAATCGCAAGACATAACAATTCACATGCGATGTTTTATGTGTTGGTCGCATACTCAGTTCGTAAACCTTCACGCAGTCTCATGAGAGAATAACATGCTTGGCAGCACTCAGGGGGGGCTTCCGCAAACGAAATCGCATCAGGCGCAGCCCTACATCGCACAACGATTCATCATACCATCAACTAGATGCCAGAAAGGTGGCGGGACATGCCGCATGCGAACGCGGACGCAATTAGAACCCCGCCGTGAGATGCGTTGGCGGCTGTGAGGCAGGTGGGGACATGCCTGGAGGCTGAAAGGGCTTCCGGACGCATAAATCGCACCAGGCGCCGTCGTACGCCGGACCAACGATGCATCACAACATTAACTAGTTGTTAGAAAGGCGGCATTAATAGGAGCATTCATACGCGCACGCAATTAGAATCCCGCCGTGAGATGCGTCGGTGGCTGTGAGGCAGGTGGGGACATGCCTGGGAGGCTGAAAGGGCTTCCGGACGCATAAATCGCACCAGGCGCCGTCGTACGCCGGACCAACGATGCATCATAACATCAACTAGTTGCTAGAAGGGCGGCGGGGTAAGGAGCATCCATACGCGCACGCAATTAGAACCCCGCCGTGAGATGCGTCGGTGGCTGTGAGGCAGGTGAGGACATGCCTGGGAGGCTGAAAGGGCTTCCGGACGCATAAATCGCACCAGGAGCCGTCGTACGCCGGACCAACGATGCATCATAACATCAACTAGTTGCCAGAAAAGCGGTGGGGAACGCGTCTTCATCAGTCACGCTCGCTAGCCAACCATCATGGGGAAGGGATGTAAGACCGTCATCCTCTGGGATGGGTCGAACTACTCCCACTGGCTCGGCGAGTTAGGCGATTTCCTCACAACGTCCAAGTTGAAGAGCTACATCAACAACCCGTCGCCTCCGAGCCGCAAGTCCCAAGACGCCCTGGAGGAGGACGCACAGGCGCTCAGCTACCTGCGTCTGTCCTGTGAACTGCCCATCAAGCAGTTGCTCATGAATTGCCCAACCGGTCTCGCCGCCATGCAGCTCTTACAGCAACAGTTCCATTCTGCATC